TACATACGTATATACAGTATTTAATGTTTTTAATCATTTGACTTACTATTTGGAAGCCTGTAATTTTTGTTTCACTTTGAAATATCTGTAGAGCATTTATACCTGGATAAAAACTGAGCTGGGTTAAGGTCAGAGATGGTTCAGGAAGAAAGGGATTAGCAAAGTAAGCAGTGGTGCCAGAATTCTTGGCAAGGATGCAGTGCTACATTTTTCTTTTTTACCAGGGCTGCTGTCAGGAAGTAGAAGGCTTGATTGGTCCTCTCCATCAGTTGTTTTCTATTTTTGGAAAGCTAACTTGCCAGAGTATTAGTACATGTGTCAGACATGAGGGATCTGGTCCAATATGCAGGTATATCTACAATAAGAAAGCTATCCCTATCCTTCATCATCTGTGAACACATTGTAAGAGGTAAGATACTCCCCGGGGCTATGAAAGTGGGTTGTGGAGGAAGTGAGGCTTTTCAGAATTATGAAGGGTTAAACTCAGAAACGCAGCTATGAATGTATTTCTTTTAGTTGACAGTAGAATATTTCCTCTCCAGAAAAATTTTAGGCTTGTGGAATTGATTTCTATGTGAGTCAGAGACCACATAGGAGAAAACTTTTTTTCCCTGAAAAATCTGTAAATTTGTTCTTTCTGTGATGATGTTGGACTATTTTCTTATCATTTTTTTTTCATATACACACTGAATACGGTCCTGGGTCATACATCGGATACAATCGAGAGAGAGAGATTCAAGTAGTCAACTGATCCTCAGGAGGATGCCCCACCTTTTGCCTGGGACATGGCGTTTAACAGAATGACCTTTTCTTAGTCAGAGACCAAGTGCTAGGTTGCACTGGCAGGTTTGAGAAGTCTGCCTGAAGAGTTCCCTCGGAAATAAAAAGGTGATTTAGTCCCAAAGCTGTCAGAAGCTGGCACACAGAAGCAAAAGGAGCTCTGAAAACCAGGAAGATATCCAATTTTTCCCAGGAATGATTCAGGTCCACCCAAAAGACCCGGAACCTATAAGTGTAGACACAAGAGTATTTGTTTTCTTTGCAAGTTAGGCAATTTTCTGAAAGATGCATTCAAATAAATATATTCACTGCATGCATGCAACTATTCAAACTTTATTAATAGTAGAGCTATCAAATGTATCACATGTATCATAGAAATACCAAAGAAATACCCAAATGAGGAATCTTAATATATGCATGAACTGCTACCCAGTCCTAAAAGGAACAGTGATGAATGTATGCAGAAGGCGTTCAGAATGGCTTGGTAAGTACGATCAGCATTCCTCCAACCATCATTTGTTGTTTCTTTTGTAACTGTGGATCACAAAATTAATAAATAAACATAGTAAGTCATCATTCATAGCTAGCGCTTAACACTGGGCTGGCTAATTGAGGACGAGGAGGTAATCTATACAGTATAGAATCCAAGGCCTTTTCCTTCAATGAATTTGTCATCTAGTCAGTGAGACAGAGCTGAGATAACCTTACATAAGGCTGCGATTTATTGCAATAAGGGACCAATGCGAGACAGAAGGCTTCACAATGATGGCGAAAAGCCAGCTCAGATAAGACAGAGGAGGAGCATGAATGCATTGTAGGTGGAGACACCGCGACCAAGGTCATGGGAAATGAGGGTGGATGAAGACCACTGAATGACAATGAAGAGGGTGGTCTGCATGGGCAGAAATACATGTTTAAGGGAAGGTGTGTAATACGTTGGAGCAGACACAAGAGTAAAAGAAGATGTAGAGAAATGTAAGCTAAGCGATAGGGACTAAAATCATAAGCATGCATCCATTAAGTTTAGACGCCGGGCAGTGTAAGATACGTTATAATAATAATTTATAAATTATTAAGGGTTCATGAGGGAGGGGGGAGTGGGGAGGGAGGGGGAGGGAAAAGAGGAAAATGAGCTAATTCCAGGAACCCAAGAGGAAAGCAAATTTTGAGAATGATGAGGACAACAAATGTATAAGTGTGCTTTACACAATTGATTTATGTATGGATTGTGATGAATTGTATGAGCCCCAATAAAATGATTAAAAAAAAACACTTCAAAATGGAGGCGAAAACGATAAAATTGTTTCATTAAAGATTGCCTATTACTAGCCTAAAGGATAGCAAAAAGTTCACAGCTTAGTCACGTTTTATGTGACTGTGCACATGCCCGTGTGTGCTTGAGTTATATCTTATATCTAAGCATATATGTGCATATGATAGACGTACGAGATAGATAGATGTACTCAGATATAGTTCCACATGTCTGCTTCATGCTCCTTCTCTGTCTTCCTCTCCTCCTCTTTCTATTCAGCTCACTTTGCTTGACCAGTGTGAGTTCCTAATAATTTGGGGGCATATTATGTAATTTTTAAAGTCACTCAGTACACTAATGCCACCCTTAGTACCAAATGTTTCATAGGAGCTACTCTAACAGTAGTGTTTTAAAATAGCAATGTTACAAAACAAAATCAGAAGAAAAATTGTGTTCCTAGAAAAAATGGAAAAAATAAAATTGGTTAGAGGAATGTAAATTGTGAGGCAAATAGAAACTGAAAAAGAAGATCATTTCTAGATAAATACATGAGAAAACTGTCCAAATTTTAAACATAGTCCTATGGGGGGAAAGTCCCTTGAACATCTAACATTGCTTTAAATTTTAAATCCATCTTGTCAGTTGGCACGGCTTCCTTAGTTAACAATCTATTTTTCCATGCCCCCTGTGCTGCTTCTCAATTCAGAGTAGACCGGAACATGTACACAGTATAGAAAGGGATGGGAGCTCATGACACACAGAATCCAGGAACAGGAGTGGGAGTAGTGATACCAGAAGGGCAGGGGGAAGAGGGGGAGAGAAAGGGAGAAAGGGGGACCTGGTTGCAATGATCGACACATAACCATACACCCCTCTCCAGGGGGGAGAACAACAGAAAATATGGGGGAAGGGAGACAGCGGTCGGTGTGAGACATGAAAAAAATAACAATATAATCATTTCTTTATTGCAATTTTCAATGGAATAACATAAACATCTAGACAGAACAAATATCAGAAAATATTTAAAACTTATTAATAGCATTTTTCTCAATTATGTTCCTGTTATTTTCCTTTCTAACAATCCAATGCCTGCCCCAAATAACGACTTTTGTATATAAGAGACTTTAAAGGCAAAACCTTTCTACAGCCTGTTCTACACGTTTTATTGATGGCTGAATGAAGACTCCTACTTCAGCTGGGAAAGAGAAGCTCAGCCAGACATATTGAACGTATTGGAAATTAACCCCATGTAATTCTTTTTTTCCCTGCGTAATTCTTTATTTTCATATATATATTGTATCACATATATCCTTAAATCTGTTAATAGGTCTATCTTTCAAAGTATTCACATATTTTATAGCAATAAAATTCTGAATGTTTTTTAGCATGAAATTCCTCTGGATAAAACAATGTCCTTGAAAGGCATTTCAAATAGCACTGGAAACTGGAGGACAATGTAATGAAACTATTTAATTTTAGAGTTGAAAAGCCAGAACCACAGACGCATTATTATTAATGCAAATAAAACATTGCTTAAATGTGGATTTAATTTCACCCAGCATTGAATTAATCATTCTAATCAGACGCTTAAGGATTCCAGAGGGTTCTGAAGGAAGTACATTGCCCCACTCCCACTGCCATTTTGAATCCCCGTTGTAACATTTCAGGTGGTCTTAGCGCTCTGCTGGATGTCTGTAGTTTAGGGAACTCGCCAGTCCATCAACCAGGAAACATTTTACAAAGAGAAATATGTTTTCCAGATTACAGTCATAATCTTGGCATTTAGACCTGCTGCGAGGAGCTGGAGAGCCTGGGACATGCTCGCTGGAACCGGGGGAGGAGGAGGCAGAGAGGGGGAGCGATGACACAACTTTGCTCTCCACTCACACGATACTATGTCAACTATCCAGTGCAGATCCAACGTTCCTTCATAGAGCTCAGGTTTCCTGGCACTCCCCTTTCCTTCTGTAAACATATTTCCCTAAGCTGTGGCCCTCCAGGTTAATTCAAGCGCCGCTGACATGATCAGGATGTGTGGGACTAAGCTGGGCACTCACACGCTCATTCTAGATAAACCACAGTCAACCTCTGCGGTGCTTCAGGCCCATCTGGGCAGGGGCTTTGTTACCATCAGCTTGCCCATGGCTTGCTTTTTTGTAAAGAGAGATGTTCATGGATCTTATGATTACAAATCTGGTCTGATTCTCCTACATGACTGGGATAGAGAATTCATGGGGCAAACACTATTTTTATCCCATATTTTCAATGTTAATCACCCTGGCACGATTTAAACACATGCCAAGTTTATATAGTCCTTCCATGGACTTCATCGAAAGAACATCTCTAAATTCCGCATTTAATCCAGATACGGCCTTTATCCTGTTCGGTGTTAACTTTTTAGACGCTTCTAGTGCTCTGAGTATTTCTCGATTCTGGTTATGTGTTCTCAAGTCTGCATGTTTTTGTGGGCATGCTATTTAAATCTGATATTAGACACATACACTCAGAGATCCCAGAAAGGAGACTTGCTGAATTCCAGTAGAAAACGACTTCAAACGTGACACACACTTTGGGCATAGTTATTCATCCACTTCCTAATCTGCCTTGTCCAAGGCATGCTCTACTGTAAAGTGCCCTGGACACAGTGCAGCCATTATAACGATTTACCAATATACACGGAAGTTGGCAATTCCTAGCACAGTTTTATAAAATAAATCGGCATAAAAATAAATATCATCTGAAGGAGTTCCATGTGATATATAATCAAAGACTATTTCAAAATAGATTAGGAAAATTATCATTTTTTTAAGGTTAAATGTCTGGAATTTCTTGAATCTAATTATAGCAACACATCTAGTATTAAGAAACACAAATTCAAATTTAAACCAATATATACCGCTAACATAGACTCCCATCTTTTGATATGATGGTAATATTCTATAGGTCACTATAAAAGTATGATTCTTACCTGAGAACTTGAAAACTTTGGTAGGTTGGGGAGTCAAAGTGTAATTAGTCACAGGATCCAGTGGGGTTTTTACATCCGGTGAGGGGTTTACATCATTCACTGAAAAAAATCATTGCAGTCAATTAAAGTAGGAGAACCTTATCACCATCTTTTATTGGTACACAAGAAGCAAAGCATAATAGTTATGTAAAGAAAAATAAGACTCTTAATCATTCCAAAATTCAAGTCAATTCTGACTCATAAGTTAAATTTATAGTCCCTACTATTAGAATAGAGGCTGTATCATGTTCATATGCATGCATACAATGCACACACAGAAGAGGGTAACTAAAAAAATATTTCTGCAAAAACCATAGAAACGTGTACTAGACCAAAATTTCAAAATGGGAAACTATTGTTTCTTAAGAGATGCCCCATCGAGGTCTAACCTTTTGAAGGTGGGGTTTCCGAAGATTTCTGTGATCTGCCATTTACACCATTCTAAAATGGCAGCGTCCTTGTGAGTCTGAAAGTCTGTTTTCTTTCAATATTCTTTGAGCTTGAGGAACAAAGTGTCCGAAGGGACAAAGTCAGGGATGTAGGGTGAATGGGGTAAAGTTATCCAATAATAATCATAGGACAGCTCCCTGGTACCCTCAAAAAATGAATAGGTGCACTGTCGTAATAAAAAAATATATTTCTCAGCACAACTTTCCTTGCCTTTTCCTCACCAATGTAATTTTCTATTTTCTTAAAACTTCTTCCTAATAAGATCCCAAGATTCTCTTGTATCCTCTACTGGATTGCCAGTAGTTTTTTGAATCTTAAAAAGCAATTACCATAAACTTTGGAATTAATCTCTCGACCTGGCATTTTTCTCACTTAGTCAATCCCTTCAACCCCCCTTTTCGGAAGGCACCCAGGAGACTAAGCTCAGTGTATTACTGAGATAACTCATCGACCACCATCCGCTGGTTGCAAGCATAGCTTTAAACACATTTTTTTAAAAAATCAACTTGTATACAGAGAAAGATGAGGCTTTCTAGGGCTGTACAAAGTTTCAGTCTTACACACCCACAGGGGCAGTTCTATTCTGTATTGTACGATTCCTGGGAGTCCAAATTGTCTCTATGCCAGGGAACTGGAATTCTAAGAGCTCTGCTTTTTGACGTATCCTCATGTGTACGTGAAAGCTTCAAAAAAAATCATAGTACATGGAAGTAAAAGATAAAGAAATATTTATAGGAGTTATTTGAAGTTCCCTACTATGTACTCTATCCATCCATCCACCCACCTGTCCTCTATCCATCCTCACATACATACATATGAAGATGCCCTGGTAGTACAGTGGTCAGGAACTCACTGCTAATGCTAAGGAAGGCCATTTGAACCCAGCTGCTGCTCCCTGGGAGAAAGCTGTAACAGTCTGCTCCCATGACGATGACGGATCTCTTCTTGGGCAGCCTTAGAATCCTGGTGCAGCTGTCTGTGTGCCCTGAGGTCACTCTGGGTCAGAATTGACTTGACTGCAGCAGTATACATACATACATATATACATGCATACATACACACACACATACATACACACACTACTGATAGATATCTGCATCATTTTGAATCTTGGAGAGAGAGAAGGTCATCTTTTAAAGTAATTTGGTAATTCTTAATCAAAACCACAATAGCTAAAGTTTATATTACCCTATTTAGTAAGTTTTTTGAGCAGGTAAAACTGATTGCTTTGATTCAAGAGGCAGAGCTCCACTAACTATTAGCTGTGAAATTGTTAATTACATAAGGGATTTCATTGGCCCCACTCTTGTGCCTCAATTATACAGCAATATTCTTCTAAGAAAATAAAAATAATCTAAACTTAAAGACTGAAAAAATTCCGTTATAATTCAATCTCTTTACTTACTACATGTTTTGTTTATCTTAATACAGAAGTTAACTAATTTTTTTATCTAATAAATACAGATGTATCTTCGTTTTCATGGTGGAACAAAATCTCAGTAAACCTGGCCCATCCTCTAAATTACCTGTTTATGAAAAATGTGTAAAGTGGAAGCAAAGTAAGTTGGGAGAGATGCTTACCTGTGTCCTCACAGGAGCTTTTACATTCTTCCAGCGATTCAAAGTTGTTCATGTTGCCCAGGCACCCACCATACTTGAAACGTTCACACTTTTTTGACTCTTTGTTATAGAAATACCTAGTAATATAACCTCGGCAAATTCCAACATCTTCTTCCAAAAAGCAGAATTCTGGCTTTTCTAGAAATTATACAAATGTCAGAAAGCAATATTCTTATTTGTAAATGTTAGTTATTTTAATTATACTAATAAATAACTGGTCAAGTCCAAGATTTAATGAGTAAAGATGAAAATTTTGGAGTAAAATGTAAAAATTATCATTTCATTCAGATCTGTAAATACTGAATTTAACTGCCACAACTCCTGTGGTATTCAGGATAAGGAAAATACTAGAGCTACACCTATTTTTGTGGTTGGGATCTTAAGTTCTCACAGTAAATAGGTACCTCATTTTTTGTGAATTGAGAAAACCAAAGATAATGCTCGACGTCACCATATACCATGCTTGGCTTGGAAATTCAAATTATCGTGGCAAATGTTTTACTTAGCTCATGTGTGTCAACATTTATGCAAGACCAGTTAATATTTCATGCTTGACTGAATTGTGGAGTCCTACGAGGGAACAATTCAGTGTGTTGCTTCATTCAGGGTGGTTTTAAAGAAGAATACAAATTGACAATCAACTTTCATCAGGATGGGCGTGTCCCCGGCTCTCTTTGGCCCTTCCTGAATTCTTGTCCAGGAATAGTACTTGTGTGTTAGGTAGGACATCTTCCAGTGCACGGACTCTCCTTCGCGATCTTATTTCAGATATTGAATCGACTCCAAAAATGAAGAGGCAGAAAGGAAGTACATGTCCAGAGATTGGCGAGACTTTTGAAAAGGTCTATGACTCTTTGATAGGACTCTGACCAGACTAGACCCAGCTGTCACAAAGGCTATGGCCCTGTGTGCTATATTACAAGCTCCATTTGCATACAAATTCTGTGAAGAGGAGATGTCAGCTGATTTTCAAAACTATTATGAGCTCAAGGTGTATGGGACTAACATATTTTTAGCACTCTGAGTTTTCCATCATTTTTTTTCCCCTTCAATTATACAATAATGTAAAAAGTGAGTGGTGGTTCTTGCCTTTCTCAAGTGAATTTGCTCTTCTATCTCAGGGAAGCAATAGTCCTGAGTGGTTTTACTGTAAAAGTAATAAATCATTTAATAATGCCAATGATTTGGGCAACAGCTGTAAATCTGCTGAAGAATCAATATCTAAAAAGTACATTTTTATTAAATATTCCTTCCTGCTTGAGCATAGTTTAAAAAAGTACCTATGTGAAAAAAAATTTTTTTTGTTTATTGGTGCTTGTTTTTCAAAGCAAGTGTTGTCCCATAGTAATCAATGTTAAATGTGATATATGTGGAAAATGGAACAAATCATCTTGAATACCATTTCTAGAGGAAAGATTAATTTATTATGATTTAGATTTGCCTTAGTGGAAAACATGAGAATTTTATGTTTAAGAATAGGTCAGCCAAAAATATTGGGGATAAATAATATAAATCCGTAACATGAATTATGTTGGTGAGCATAATTTTAAATTACATAATAAGAATAATCTTGTGAAAGAGTATGTGTGTGAGAGCATGAGTATTTTTGTGTGTGTATTTGCATTGCATGGCATAAATTTATTTCACAACAAAGTTACAAATGCTATTGTGTAAAATAATTGTTCTTAAGTCAACCATTTAATATACTTATGCAGTCACACGTTATGAGATCTATGATCCATATTTCTCAGATTATTTAATTCGCACACCAAATCCATGCTCTAAATTGATGCTTGGTAAGACTGTAAGAGCAGCCCGGGCACCGTGCCCTATCTGCCGGCTGGCCTGGCCACAGGCCCGTGTGCGGCTGCGCCGGCAGGCTGCGCTTTCTCTCAGCCTTGCTGTCACTTGGATTCCCCCTCCTTCTCCCCCGACTTTTACCAGGTTCCAACGCTACAGAGCAGGTCACAAAATCAACTTCAGCTAATTAGTTCTAGCAGTTAATTTTTTTGTCCTTCATGTGAATGCTATTGACAGCTTTATTTTCTTTCATACGCAATATTAATTCAGAGATTGCAGATTTTGAATAGCTACAGATATATTTTATATGTATTTATATGTATATGAAATGTTCCATTTCACCTGAGTAGGTAGTTTTTAGTTCTATTCTTTTGAAAAAGGCAATGCTAGTTCAATGTTGCTATTTCTTCTCATGAAATAATTTTTATTTAGTGGGGCGGAGAAACTATTCATAAATATGCTAGTATCTTTTATATCACAGTTCATGAAGATTCCATTTAATTAACCTATGGAATACTTTTTATGAGGAACATTAAGACATGCTATTTAAAAATACTGCAAATGCAAATAATATTCATTTCTGTTGTTTATGCAAATGCTGCTGTTGAACTTATTTTATATATTTTGCCCTAATTTCTGGTTAGTAAAATAAGTTTGAAGTTTATCAGTAAGTCACATATATTTTCAAACTTTTCCCGATATAATAAAAACAAAAATGCATTTTGAATTGCTTATGCCTCTAGTATCCTGGATTAAATGATCTTACCTGTGTTCCAAATTTTCTCATTCAAACATAAATATCATAAGTAGTAATTGGATCGAAGTAGGTTTTAAAACGTTAAAGGGGTATTACTTCCTTAATTTGATGTAACATTTTCTTGGACTTATAAAATACATTTGAGTAAAATTATTATTTTTATTCATAAACCTATTAAAACTATTCAAACACAAAATTAAATAGCACACATTCAAATACTCACTGAATAATAGTCTTAAAAGTGATTATTGTTCAATAACTAGTTCCTTTGGTTACATAAGTGCTGACAAGGCAAAGATATACATCCATTCAGGGAAAAATTAAGGTGAGTTTTGCTAAAGCCACAGATTGATGAAATTGGCAGTGGATTAAGGATTTGGAAACTTAAGCAAGATAAGCAACATCTAAATAATTACCACGTGACATTAAAACACATAGTTAAAAATAGTACAAATGAATTGATACTAAATATGATGAGAGTTAATGTGGTTATTTTGGCCTTCACGTCTCCTAAAATATCAACATTTTATTTCTATTTTTCTATTACGTATATCTCCTGGAGAGGAATGGGAGAAGTCATGTGATTTAATCCATTGTTCACAACTTAGTGAAAAATCACAAAGATTTATGATCAAGCTTAAGAATAAAATTTCAGAAAGTCTTATGCAAGTACTAGGAATTGATATACAAGTATTTACCTTTTAGCAAAGTGGTCGTAATTTTTTGATGACCTGCAAAAAAATATGTGTTTTCATCATGATTTATAGCATAGTATATCATCAAAATTAACCTTATAGAAATTGCCTTAAATAAAATGAGATTTTCTTTTCTCTAGAGATTCAATTTTTCTAGTTTTTGCAACTTTGAAATCATCTACATTTTAGCATATAATGTCTCAAAAACTTTGTTAACATTTCAAACACATTTTAAAACACATATTTGACAGTTCTTTAACTGTCCAAAAATCTACAATTTAAATGATTAAAATGAAGTGAAATTAAAAGTAAGAAACAAAGACCATTCTGCATGTAAAACCAAATCCTTTACAAATAAACGCCACATAAGAATAGAATACAAAGTCGTCACCCTTATTTGGCTGTGCCTACTGATGGCAATGATATGATAAGCCCAAACCCGAGCTCTGCCGTCAAGTTGATTCCCACTCAGAGCAACCTTACAAGACAGTGCAGACCTGCCCTGGGCGTTTCCGAGCATCCAACTCTTCACCGGAGAAGAAAGCCTTGTCTTTCTCCCATGAGAGAATGTGGTTCTGGACTGCTCTTATTGAAGTAGATAGCAGCCCAATATACAACCTATACACCACCAGCCATGCGATGGGAACATAAAAATGCTTGATTATATAATATTGAAGAATATATCGATTGTCTTTGTTTTTCATCAGCCCAAGCTAAATGAATCATCTGGTGTAAATACAAATTGATAGAAATAATATGCTTTAGAACAGTAACTGTTATATGACTGAAAATTTTAAATATATATTATTTTATTATAAATGGTTGCTTATCTTTTCGGTTGTGCTTGTATATCTATTTATGATTTTCTTATTTAATTGTTATGAGATTCAGTTTCAAGCATTTAACTATCTTGATACTCCATAGACAAACCAACCTTGTTCATAATGTGTTATATGTTGATAGGATTCTGAATTTTATTTGCTATTGTTAGATTTGTGTATGTGCCAGGGTACAGGTGTATTCATAGAGAAAATTAGGCCTGCACTTTTCTCTTCTCGAATGGCTCTTGTCTGCTATTTTGTCTTTCCTTCCTTATTTCTACTGTGTCTACTCTCTAGCATTGTTTAAGATTTATTTTTACCCCTGGTTTCTATAATTTGATTATATTCTTTCATGTTTTGTGTGTTTATTCTTAGAGTTTCAAAGGTTGGATCTACAAGTCATAGATTTCATTCAGTGTGAATAATTTTTTGGAAATTATTTCTTCATATATTTTATTTCACTCCACTTCTTACCATCAGGCCTTCAAGGATAGATTTTGATAACTGTATTGGTATTGTATGATGGGTTATGGTGGCTATTTTTATTTGCTTAGTCTCTTTTTAATACCATGTTTCATTGGACTGTTTCAATTCCTTTGTCTCTAGCATCACTAACCACTTCTTTTACAGTGTCTAATCTACTATCAATGACCTCTGCTGAATATTTCCGTTTAGATCATGCATTTCTCAAGGCTAGAAGCTCCTCTTGGTTCTCCTTGATAACTTTCACCTCTCTCCTTAGTATATTCATGTTTTCCTTTAAGTCCTTATGGACACACAGGCTGATGCTTTGAAGTCCTTTAGTGCTAGTTCCAGTACACCTACAATTTGTTTCTGATTCAGTTGAATTTTTCTACAAGTAATGGATCAAAATTTGCTGCAGTTTTTATTATGCAATGTTTTGTGGAGGAAAAGAGCAATAATTATGAATACTTTTCTTATCATGCTTTATCTTCTTTTAAGAAACATTGAAGCTTCCTTTGGCATAAAATTTATCATTTCACCATTTTAAATGTACAACACGGTGGCATTTACACTGTTGTTTAACCATGACCATTATAAATTTTCAAAACTTTTTCATAATTCCAAATAGAAACTTTGTACTCATCAAATAATAAATCTCCATTTCTCACTCTTCCCAGACCCTAGTAATGTTCTGCCTTTATGGATTTTCCTATTCTGCATACCTCATATATTTAGAATTATTTAATATTTGATGTTTCATATATAACTTATTTAGATAATGCGTATCTAACTCAGCATGGTATTTTCAAGTTTTTTATAGTATATGTCAGACATATTTTATTGTTATGGCTGAATCATATTTCACTGTAGGCGTATAATGTGGAATAGAAAGTTTGTTGTTGAGTATAACTTGAGGAAGTTTAAGGTATCTTTTACTACAGGACCTCATTTGGTCTTAGTACTTGAGCTCAGATATTTCAATTGTGTGGGAACTCTGGGAATTATTAGGTCTACAAATTCCTGATATTCACTTTCCAAAAAGTATGTAACTTCACCCAATGTATGAAGAATTGTATTATTCAGTAATCAACTCAGAGTGACTCTCTTGAATATATGAATGTTTCTGAGTTTTTTCTCTGTATAATTCCACCCTCTCCTGTGCATTGTCCCACACTGTCCCACTGTCCCAGTCACCTCCACCCATCAATCTCCAATTTCCATTGGTAAATATCCACTTTTATAGTTCTTTATGTTGGGAGTGAAAATCTAGTTCCAAATACTCCATAATGGCTGAAGATGGAATTCTCTCCTTAGGTAATTTTTAAAAAGTCTAATGGCATTTTTATAGATGCCAGCAAAAAAACAGTATTCTGTATAGATATCAGCCATTCAGATAACAGTATAAGTGACATTTGAAGGATATATGAGGAGATGTGGGCTAGAGACGTGATGTAACAATTGCATTTCAGCTAGTAATGTTGTTTTAGAACAGTGGTTCCCAACATATGGGTTGCGGCCCCTTTGAGGGTCCAAGAACCCTTTCACAGGGATCACCTAAGAACATCGGAAAACACATATATATTTCACAATATACAATTACATATTGTTTTGTGATTAACCACTATGCTTTAATTATGTTTGATTTGTAACAATGAAAATACATCCTGCATATCAGATATTTTCATTATGATCATAACACTAGCAAAATGACAGTTATGAAGTAGCAACAAAAATAATGTTATGGTTGGGGGTCACCACCAGATGAGGAACTGTATGAAAGGGTAGCAGCTCTAGGAAGGTTGAAAACCACTGTTTTAGAAGACGTTAGAAATAGGCAGTTGCTTATAAACTCAATGGCTATATTTTTTTCCCTTCTAAAAAGACTGCAACTTGAGCACAGAAATGAAAGGGTCAGAGATAAAAATCATAAAAAGAAACAAATATGGACGAGTGAAGTTGGCAAAAATAAGCAGGTTGCTAAATGCAAAAAGTGAGCACTTGGAATACATGAGGCAACCAGCCTCTGTCCAAGATTTTGAAAACTAATAGTCATTTTCAATTCAACACAAAAGAGTACTTGGCCCGGGAGGTATGGAAGAGAACTGAGTACATAAATCCCGCTGAATGGCAAATGACCCAGAGAGTCTCACACACAGACAGAACAAAACAAAGGCGTCATGAAAGACCACTGAGTTGCCCAATCTGGGTTAGTAACGTTTCTAGGAAATCACCGGCGAGGAAAAGAGGAGAACAATGTTCTGACGGTAAAGAAACCCATTCACGTTTAGTCTCTTCTGTCAAGTCTGGAACAGGCAACCAAGCATCTCACAGCGCCGCAGAGGAGGGGAGTTTCCTCTTTTCACCACACTGGGATTTTCCCACAGAGCACCATGCTGCCAAGGCCGTTCAGCAGAAGCTACTTTGGAAAGCATCATGGGAGGGAGACTGCAGAGCTGCCCGCCCGTGTTGCGAAAAATAAGACATCTACCGTTACTAACAGACGCCATCCTCTCCACAGGGATTCAGCTCAATTCTGAGACTACTCGATGGGGATATTATGGAACAAAAATGGAAATAAAGATGGTTCTGGTTCTTCTAGCCCTCAAGAATGCTCAGTTTAAAGAATTAAAACTTGAAATTAAAAGAAATGAACTTGCAAGTGTTTTAAATTTAAATTACTTAGAATGTATCCAAATGGCAATTCAGGAAATGAAATAAAACTGTATGTAATGCCACAAAGATATATTTATTTTAAAAGGGTCCAATAAAGTTGAATGGTTTCATATTGTATTATGTATTTGAAATTTTATATTTCAGCAATATTATTATGAAAAAAACCACAAAAGAATGATTAGAATCTCCATGTGTCATTAGGGAAGATATTTTATTTTCTATATTGTTCCAAGGTTCCAAGAATGACTTAAATTCCAGGTGTGCATTTCTACTGTTTGACACAGCTTTGAGTTTTGTAATTAATAACTATTGAGTGCCTCAAAATGAAATATCTAATTTATCACACTACCAGAGTCTTTGTGTTGAGAAAGACTAAGTCAATGTGACTAATTTATCTTCTGTCAATTCATAGCTGCTCATGGGAACTGAGAATACTTGAAGTCATTTAGATAGGAAATTTGTGGTGAAGACTAAAGTGTTTATCTCTCTTGTTTTTTTTTTTAATATGGAGAAGATAAACGATGTTATAATGACTTCTTGGGTTGTGTGTTGGGTTGCTAATCACAAGGTCAGCAGTTCAGACCCATGAGCTACTCCTTGGGAGAAAGATGAGGCTTTCTGCTCTCATAAAGATTCGTAACTCGGAAATCCAAAGGTGCACTTCCACTCTGCCTTATAGGGTTCCTATGGGTCAGAATTGACTGGATTACAGTGAGTATGGCATTTGTAGCTACGAAATTATGAAAAATAATTAAAAGAAGGCTCAACATCTAAGCAAAGGGATATTTTTCATTGTCAAAACAATATTAAATCAATTTTCCTAAAACGATCAAATCTGTGATCAGGACTTAAAATTCTGACTCTTGAGTGATAGATGCCCCCCAAAACTTACCTGGTACACAGTTTTCTCTGCACTCTTCCAGATTTTCAAAGCTATTATTATTTCCCAAACATCCCCCGTATATAAATTCTTCACACTGTTGAGTGTGAATATTGAAAAAAAATCTCATTATCCTTGCTTTGCATGGCCCATCTTGTGCCTTCAATGCGCAAAATGGATTTAGAAGTCTGAATGGTGGCAATTCAATATCTATAAGGTAAAGATAAGATATAACATGTAATCATTCATTAACACTGTAATTATGTTCTTTAATTCTTTCACACATCCGTCACATAGTGTCCTCATTATAAGAAAACGTACGTCAATGATACAATTTAGCTTTTAAGGAACTGTGATGAAAAACCTTTCAAAGTTACCAAAAAAGTAGATAAAGTTAAATTCATCAAATGGCACATGTTTTATGATGCCAATCAACTATTCAAGGAAAAATGATACATTTTCTAGTCTCTTATTGATAGGCTTACCTTTAATCTTAGCTAACTGAGATGGAATTGGTTAGTATTCAATTAAGGGAATCGCATTAATTTTTAAAAAAATTATGTGTTTTTTAGAGATATATATCAATGGACAATTTTTTTGAGTTCCTCTCTCTAGTGTATAGCTAGCTGTAACATTTTTAAACAAGTAATTATTTTAAAATGAGAATATAGTCACATTCATTCAGCTATATATCATTAGAGAAACTTCACAGGATTTTAAATTTGTTGTTTTAACAGAAAAACGAAACATAGAAATTTGTATTTAGCTTTCTCTGGCACTTAAGGAATGTACCTGAACATCAGGGACTTAATATTTGTGCTCTTACTACTGGTAACTCCATTAAGATGTTTTAAATCAAAATTTGAAAATGTTATATGGATTACACTTACATAATTCAATATTCAAAACTATTAAAATTCTACACACATTCTCAATTCTACACATAACTTCTAATGCTATTCCTCCCCCCTTGTAGGTAACATGTTTATTTCTGATTTATCTTTCCACTACTTCTTTATGTAAATACATATATATGCATGTATGTAAATAAATGCACACACTCTTTTACTGTATAAAGATAACACATTACATATACAAACATATATACTATTCTGTCAGCTAAAAAAACCCTGCTATTTATCCACATAAATAGCTAAAGTATTTCCCACTATTCCGTATAGCTGAATAATATTGAATTGTTTGGAAGTACCATGTTGATGTCCTATTTGCTATACCCTTCTGTTATTACAAATCAAAGTGCAGTGAATTATACTACATCTATGTAATTTCTTACTTCCGAGTGTGTAAGCAGAATCTGCAGTTTGGATTTTAAACTGTGGGTCCTTTAGTGCAGGCAGACACCTCTGTAATTCTGTTCCGTGCTGGTGGGGCCCCTTCAGGGCCGTGGTTCCACAATAGATGTGAGTGTAGATTGCCACATGACCTCTTATGCAATTCAAATGAAATGATTTTATTTCAGTCTCATTGGAGAAAAGTACTTCTTGATGGAGTTCAAACTCTCATACGTGTTAGCCTGTGGGAACTTTCGTAAATTTCTAAATGGATAGGCATTGCTCATTCATTGCTAGGAACTTTTAGTCACTGATCTATGACCACATTTTTCTGTTGGTTAGCTGGTCTTTTGCCATTTTTATGAACACTTCACAAATTCCAGGAACTAAGTTTCTGTGGTACGAGCTGCAAATCCTTTCTCCAGCTTGTTGTCTGTCCCCTTTTTCTTGTGGTAAAATATACAAAATGTGGAATTGGACAGCGCCATTCTTTTCAAGAGCATCATCCAATTCCATCAATCGTGCTCACAATGTACCTCCATCCGGATCTTCTTCCAGAACGTCGTCAAGAAAACGCGGAACTGAAGCCGTAGTTCCCGGTCTCTCTGGGCTACCGCAGAGCTGACCTTGAAAACACCGTGCGAAGTGCAGCAACAGCTTTGTCTTCTGATTGTACATTTTGTGGGCTTTGCCATGCAGGCTTTTTTTTTGTATGTTTGTTTTGGATCGTGTACCAAATTTGTCTATTTTTTTTATTCCAGATTTCAATTTATTACATTAAAACACACACACACAAATCCTTTTTCTTTTTAAGGTTAGAGATAAATTCACCCATTGTGTTCTCATGCAACCACTTTGAGAGTATCAGAGTTTTATATTTAAATCTCTTGCTTGTTTTATTCTTGGGTAAAGTATGAGACATGGTTTTTCTTGGGTAAAGTATGAGACATGGTTTTTCTTGGGTAAAGTATGAGACATGGTTTTCTGTAAATGATCATTTTTGTCATTACAGTTTTATTTAATCATTCTTCCTTCTTTGCACTCATTTGAGATGTCTCCTTTATCATCCATTTACTTCCCATATGTATTTGGACTTGTTTCTGAAATTTCTATTTTTTCCACTGATACATTCGTCATGTATGGATTCCAATCTTCCTCTTGGAGAATAGGCTGGTAGGTGTAACCCTCCAAGAGAAAAGGGCTTGGGGGTGAAGGCTGATGAGGTCAGACATGCCTCCAATCTCCATCTTTCTGTACCAACCATTCCTCTAAAGACGGTTTCTCTGCTGGGCACAATTCACTTTAGTAGCCACACAGGACTCCCAGGTGTTACTTGCGATGGTGGGGTTCACTGCAGAAGCTAATAGGTTACAAAATGGTTAAAGATCCCTTTCTTTTGTCCACAATACTTTTCTCAACCAGGCTGGCTGGCATCTCTTTCACTGGTCCTCAGTCTCTCCGCCACAGGGCTCTGCTTTGTTCTGGGGCCAGGTTCCTGCTGCTCTCCCTCCCAGGCCAGGTGCTGCTCCTTGACTATACCTGCCGGTCCTGGAGCGATTCCTCTGCTCTGTCTCATCGTCTCAGGTGCACTCGCCTCTGGTGTCTCTACTACCTGGACCACTCCAGTCACCTGTTCCATTGGTGCCTCTTCTTTCCATCTCTAGCTCTAGATCCAGATCTAACTAGAGTGGAATTAAAAGGTAATGAACATTTTCACAAACTTTCGGAAGCCTTTTGTATGTTGCTGCGGTTAGGTGTTATTGTGTCGTTTTCAACTCATAGCGATTCTATGTGCAAAAGAAGATGACACTGACTTCCTAATTTTGTTTGTCTTCCCGATCGTTGCTGTAGTTTATCACATTGTTGCAACTTCTGTGGCAGTACATCTGTGTGTATGTATATCTCTATGCACATATATGCATATATACACACACCTTCATAAAATTCACTTGCTCCTCATAGTTTAATCAATGTTATACCTTTCTAACTACCTATTTTATATACATATGCTACATTCATTAATATAGTGATTCATATATATACATTATATATACACACATTTATACACATGTATGTGTTTTCAACTTTCTGTAGGATAGTGTTCAATTGTTAAAATACAATGATTAGTTTTTAGTAATGTTTTTTTACACTAAAAGCATTGAGTTTCTAAGCCCAATCTCGCTGTAATATATTTGTAAATTACTTTAGTAAAGTGGCTTGACCATTAGTGATTAATAATGGTGAGCACAAATATAATTTGTCTCAACTTTATGCACTAAAATGCTTAATGAATGTGTGAAACCTGAATGTGTGAAATGAATGTGTGAAACCTGAAACTGTGGGTGATTTATGAGTAGATGCTTGGATAAACAGGTAGACTGAACTGGTTTGTGAGCTAGAATGGGAGAGTGTGTGTGTGTGAGAGAGAGAGACTATGCATATTTACCTTTGCTGCAAATATACCCATGAAGATGGTGGCAGCGCATACAGGGGGCACTGTTATGAATATAAACAAACTTCATGATGGGAAGATTTTCAGGATCTGGGGGGTCCGGACCATAGTCTCAGGACACTGTTGTCAATGGGTCAATGAGAAGACAATAGTTCACAAAGGCCATGTTCTACCTCCTACTTTAATGAATAACAACTGGGGTTCTAAAGCTAATGAGCAACTTAAAGCTATGGTGCAACCATTGGTCTCTTCCCATCTATAGGCAATAAAACAAACCAAATACCCAACTAACCACCCATGAGCTGATCATGACTCACAGTGACACATACAGATCCCTGGATCCATTTGCAACCTAGTGAATCAGAATTTCTAGGGAAAGGAGCCCAGGGATCAGTTGTTACACCAGATCCTCAGGTGAATCCAATGATCAGTCAAGTTTGGGAAGCTAGATATTATAAGATCCTGGATGGAGTGGGAGAAAACAGGAACAAAACATAAACCTCATATAGGAGATCAGGCTTACTAGACAAATAGAGTCTGGTGGGGCCTATAAGACCATGGTCCTTAGTCACCTCGTCAGGTCTGGAACTGACCCACTTCTGTTTAAGATCAAAAGAGCAACATTTGCCCAAACAGAAAGTTCAGAAGGTTCATGAAGAAGAAGGAAACAAGAAACACAAGGAGGAAGTGGGATAAGTGATGGTACCCTGAAGGGATTGCAATGGATGAGTTGAAACAAAATGTACACCGATTGTTGGATGTAAAACAATTATCTGAGATGACCCCTCAGAGACAGTGACAAGAGTAAGGGTTCCCTGAGGGCACGGGTAGAGGGTGTGTGTTTGTGTGCATGTGTGTGTTGATTATATAACACCACCCAGTGGGACTGAACAACAGAATTGTAAGTAAATGGATATATTGGAATGTGTAAGATATGCCCATAAAACTATTACAGTAAATATATAAATTAAATAAAATGAAACTTGCAAGTTAAAAAACAAACTCTTATCTGTTCTGTAAACCTTCACCTAATTCACAATAAAATGTTTACACATAAATAAAGTGCGTTAGTGAAACATGATTTTTGACTTTAGAAGTATATTAAGAGTTTCTGGCACTGGAGAATATAGTGACTCCAAAGTAAAATTTGAAACTAACACTTTATCACCAATTATATTTAAACTTCTCTGAAATTCTCTGTTTTTATTACAGTGCATATAAACACCACATGAATCAATAAAACAGATTAGCACTTGAGAAGGTTGCTAAAACAAGTTTAATAAACATCTACTAATAAGAAAATGTGACGCAAAACATGTTTTGTCCCTTTATAACCTGAAGTTATAATTGTCAATTTGAGTTGAAAATTAACTGATTTATTTTCCCTACATAGTACTGTTCCATGGGGCTCCGGGGGTGGAGGGAGCTCTGCTCTGGCTACTAACCCCACGGGCAGCACGTCAAACCATCAGGGCTCCGCAAAAGAAAGATGAGGCTTTCTAAATGTGTTGTAGTATTTAATGTTTTCTGCTTTCTTTTCCACTGAGGTTTTTAAAATTTGTTTTACTTTGTTAGTTTAGTTAGTTTGTTGTTGTTCATGTTTTTCTGTATTTGCAACACGGATAGGTGGATCTGTAAAGACAGTAACAGGATTCGTGGCTCCTGGGGGCGTGACAGCACAGATTGGGAGGAAACGGACAGCTGACCACACTGAGGGCAAGATTGAGGAACATGTTCTAAAACTGATTGTGATGATGATTTCAAAGCTCTTCTTCATGTGCTTGAATGATTGAATTATATGATATGTGAACGATTTGCCATCAAAACTGGCTTTTTTTGGTGGGAGGGGGGAGTCTTGGAAAACCACCGGGTCAGTTCTACCAGGTCCTAAAGGTTGGCATAGGTAGGAATCCACCTCGTGACCATGGGTTTATAGATTCCATGAGTCAGGGCCACCTCAATCACAACATGGTTATGATTTATTATAATGAAAAATTCATTTTCTTAATAATTCTTTAAAAATCATAGCATTTTGAATTATTATTAAACATTTGTTATAAGGTAAAAAGTTGAACTCAAAAGACTGTAAACCCTAAATCAGATTTCATCTGATTTCATGAGCTTATATTGTCTAGACATATTTTTTGTACTGGTAAAATATTGACCTATCAATTCTGCAAATATCTGATAGTACATTTCAGTACTCAACTAACGAATCTTCATAAGTGACCTAGTGAAAATATCTTGATATGTTGAATCTTATAGCTGTATACATTATTTTTGAATTCCTATAGCACTTCTCAAATTGATGGAACTCATTCCAAAGTTGATGCTTCTTTAGAATTTTTCAGATGCCAAATAAATTTCAAATATGAATGATCACAAGTGATTTCATCTAATGATTTTTTGAATTTCATATATGAATTGATATATCTGTGTGTGTGCATACAAGCAGATACCCTTAAAAATGGATTTTGTTTTTCAGAGTTATGCATTTAATTTTTTTTAACCAAAACATCTTATCACCTTCAAAGCAGTCTCCATTATAATTAATACATTTGTCAAATCTGCGATTCCATTCTTGGAAACATTTTTCAAACTCATCTGTTTGGATGGTTGACAGGACCGCTCTTGTTTTTTCCTTTATCTCTTCTATGTAATCAAATCGCTGTCTTTTCATGTCTGTCTGCATTTGCGGATAAAAAAGAAGTCACACGGATTGAGGTCCGGTAAGAAAGGTGAATGGAGCAAGAGAGGCATGCTGCTTTTTGTCAAAAACTGGTGCACTGAGCAGGTGCATTGTCATGGTGTCAAAACGAGTCACCGTCTGCTACAAATCAGGCCTTTTTTTATAGCAAACCATATGTGTATATATATGTATATTTGTGTGTGTGTGTGTGTGTGTGTGTGTGTGTGTGTGTGTGTGTGAGTGTTAGGCCAAAAAACTGCAATTTTTTCAGATTCTTGTTTATTGCTATCTCCACATTTTGCTCCGAATGTATTTGATAATCCTTATCATCATGCTAAACCTTTTCTTCTATTTTCAGTATTAAGGATACTCAGCTGAGGTTGAAGCTGCTATTTTAGAGTGATGCCACCAGATGGGAGTAGTGCATTGCAAAACAAAATTCACCGTGTGGTAGCAATGATAATGTTAACAGCTAAAGTTGTTTACTGAGTAATTACTATGCTTCAGACCCTGTCATTAAACAATTAAATTACCCCAACAACTTCTCAGGGAGGGGGCATGTAGAAACACTGATACCCACTTTACAAATTGGAAAATAGGGTTGCAAATGGTTAATTGCACAAGGCCACACCTGTTAGAATCAACTCCTCCCCATCCTCCCCAGCACCTCCAGTTTTACATTATTGGCTTACTGGTTACTTATTGGGCTGCTAATGTCAACATCAGCAGTTCAAAATCACCAGGCCCTACTAGGGAGAAAAGCGGGCCTTTCTACTCCCATAAATAGTTTCAGCTTGGGAAACTCAAATCTGCTCTTCTGGCCTGTTCTGTAGGGTCACTATGCATTGCAATTAACTCCATAGCAGTGATTTTTTTTTATTATTAGTAGTAAATGTTACACTAGATCTCACTCACATCCTTAACAGCAAGCAGCGTTGTCACAGAATTGTAATGTTGGCATTGAGCTCAACCGCATACATTTAAATATGTATTTCTCTACTCAATAGATCTTTCTAAAATTCACCTTGTGGAAATGAAAAATGGTTTCAATGACTAAAGCAGATGCTAAATATGCAGTACTTTACTTAATAAAATGGTAAATGGTAGTAGCCAGGAGAACAGAGAAATGAATGATGCATAGCTATCATTAATGTCCAATTTGACCAAAGACCCATTAGATGAATCTTGGTTAAAAGAAGAAAAGGGGAAAAAAATGGGAAAGAATCGTCAGTTTTTATGAAAACCAGACTTATTGGATCCACAGAGGGTTGTGAATCCCCGATCTGTTGCCTGGAAGCAACATTTAAACTTTGAACTGAAAAACAAAACAAAATAAATCTGAACGGGAACTGTCCCATGAACACGCCTTTAAACGGAACCATTACTTAATTTGGTAAATAATGTTTGTTTCAGCATTGCGCACTTTTGAAGAATTATGTACTGACAGCAATCCTCTAATGGACAGATGATACATCAGGCAAAATGCCTATGTTTACCATTGTTTTACAAAGTTAACAATGGTGAAATCATATGTGAAAAGGTAGTGAGATTACTGACATGTTATCAAGTCATGACCTTTGCCATTTAGTGGCACACGTAAAGCTGTGGAGTGGCTGTATGCTTTACTGTGTATATTTTCATCAACATAAACATACTAGGCAAGACTGTGTGGCAGTCCGCCAAGAGACCTTTGAGTCATCCAAATCCCCCTGAATTCCTGAGAGTTTCGGGTTACTGTGCAGTAAGTTTGAAGTTTGAGTTAGCTCTGGATGGCAGAAAGCAGCCTTCTGGAGATGCAGTGCTGAGCCTCCCCAGCTCGGCTGAGGGAAATCATACCAGGAACACACAGACCTCTTCACCCACTTCCGCTGATAGGTTGCCTCCTTTTCCTGCAGTTTCCTTCAAATCTTTCTCTCTCCATCCGACAGACAACTTGAACTTCAGCCAAGTTTTTTTCATGGAAAAGCCAGTGTCCAAATTCCCATTTTCAAAGGGCATATGGTGGTGTCTACTTTATTCCGTGAGAGTTTATCCACAAGAAGTTTTGTCACCGCACTTTCGGTGCCGAGTTCTCAGGTGGCCAAACTTGGATGAGTCCTCTTCTTCTTTGCTCCATCAGCAGCATCCTACCGATGATGTCGCCATAGCTTCATTCACCCTACGACCCTGAAATAACCTGCCTACACTTCCATCTTCCCGATGAAACGTCGGAATCCTTGGAGGCTGGTCACAGTCACCGCTGTTTCCTGCTCAGGCATGTCAGATGTACTTCTTCAGTCTTTGTCCCAGGGAAGCACCCTGAAGCAATTACTTTGAGCAACGGGTAGAGGTAGCAAATACAGATGTAGTTTTAGAAGTAAGCTACAACTAGAAGCTATCACTTTATTCATTTCTCTATCCATAATGACCTGCGATTTCTATGGATAATCTAGTAATTAGCCACATATTATAATCTTTAAGAAAGGTAGACATCCACTGGACCTGTGATGACATGATTCTCGGTTCTGGTTTCTGCTTTGAACGTCTCCAGGCCCAGGCGGAGCCCTGACTACTTTGGGGCTCACTTGGCATTCTACTTGACTAGAGCCTCGCAGAGGACTCCTGGGGCAGTCCTTACTAAGAACATGGAGAAGAGAATGCGGCGGACGCATCAGCTGGCGCTCGCTACCCTGTTCTTCCCATGCACTGTTGCCAGCCAGAGTTCAGAGAAGTTCAGAGTGAGCTCTTAGTTTGCAGAAGGATGAAGGGACTTCTACATTACCGAGCTGCTGGCAACATGATGTTCCCAGAGCGACCCCAGCGAACAACAGTATATCTTGATTGGGTGGGATAGGGTGAAGAGGGAGGGTCTTGCTCAGATAGATTGTAATGTGTTCCAGATTAGAAGTTTCTCAAGAATAATGGGACCTCTATGGAAACTGACTTTGTACATAATGGAAATGTATGGGTTTAAACCGAGATTTGAATGTGTACAAGGTTTCATCCTGTTAACATTTACCTGTAATATTTGTAAACTCGTCTTCTTCTTCTGCTTCAGAAGTAGCACTCAGAAGGGTGGGGAAATAGCTCAGCAGCAGGATCACTGAAGCCCACAGCACGGGGGCCGTCTTCAGGGTGCGCCCCATCTGTGAAACAGAGAGCCCATGTTCATTGAGGCAATGAAGCAGCAATGCGGAGCATCGCAGAACACAAAAGTTTGACTTTTCAAATGCATTCCCACACATCTCTCTCCACATCTTCCATGAGCCATACTTATAACACAAGCATATGATATTCAAACATATTATAGACAAACATAAATTGACTGTATAGGTTAAACAACATTTAAGAAGACTGGTCATATTTCAGACTTTAAAATAAAAAGAAAATTAGGATAACAGAATTGAGAAGCATGGACAATATGCTACCTATGGATACAGACTTGTTTTCTTTTTTGCGTGTGTGTGTTTTTTTGTTTTTTTTTTAATGTTCATGGCCTTTATTAACCAGTACAGTTACTTGTCTTCCGGTTAGCTGAAGCAGTAGGTCAGACCGCACTGGCCGCAGTCATGTCTGTCAAAGAGGCTGGCCATGAAAACCCTAGCACCACACTAGTCTGAAGGGCACTCGCACCGAAGGCGGCTGATGTTGCCATTTTCATCCACCTTACAGCATTTTAAGACAGCCAGCTTCACCTTCTTTCTCTTATGCTTGTTCTTCTTGGGAGTGGTGTAAGACTTCTTCTTCCTTTTCTTAGCACCACCACGAAGTCTTAGCACAAGATGAAGAGTGGACTCCTGAGTGTTGTAGTCGGACAGGGTATGTCCATCTTCCAGCTGCTTGCCAGCAAAGATCAGCCGTTGCTGATCAGGAGGAATTCCCTCCTTGTCCTGGATCTTGGCCTTCACATCCTCTATCGTATCAGAGGGCTCGACCTCGAGAGGGATGGTCTTCCCCGTAAGGGTCTTCATGGAGATCTGCATCCTGGCAGCGGCCCCACCGGAGATGGCGGATCAGAAAGCTCTTGTTGTGTTTTGGTTTTTGTCATTGGTTTGTTGTTGTTTTGTTGTATATTGTTGCTTGGTTTTGCTCTGTCTTGTTTTTGTGCATGTTATCTCCATGGGTCTGTCTCCATGATGCAATCGCTGATGACAAATGGGTGTATAAGCAAATGTGGCGAAGAAAGCTGATGGTGCCCGTCCATCAAAAGATATAGCGTCTGGGGTCTTAAAGGCTTGAAGGTAAACAAGCGGCCATCTAGCTCAGAAGCAACAAAGCCCACATGGAACAACATGACAAATGGGTGTATAAGCAAATGTGGCGAAGAAA